TTCTTCGATTTATGCCAACATTACGCAACCAATTCAGGGCTTCAAGCTGATGAGGAAACACAAACTCCTTTAAGTTCATTAGGTTGCTCTGTGAGAGTAACAACTCTGTTTGCTGACTATCACCCTTGGCACTAATGAATCATCCTTGCCAGCATCTTTTTCTAGTGTCTGATGTTCAAATTGATCAAAAAGATTTGCAAGATGCGAGAACTTCTCAAGTACAGACTCATCCAATCTTTCCCAAGTACATTCATCATAAGGAAGACCAGTCCATTTTACAAAAGCTTCACGAGTGCCATCTTTCCTAAGCTGGCGTGCAATTATTCGCTGAGGTTGTTTCCACTTTTCTTCACAGATATTTATCATAGCCGTCCCATACTTAACCTTGTAGTTTTCTAGCTTTCTCTTTGCCAGAACTTTCAGGCTAGATTCAGAAAGCCAGCTATTATGGATATGCGACTTTCCCATCCATTTAACTAGAAATTCACATGATATTTTCTCTCTTTTAGCTGGTTCAGCTACAGCAGGCTCCTGAATTCTTTTTTCAGCAATATTTCTTACCTTTATTTCTATATCTCCATTTTTTGTCGTTATGGTTTGATCAGATGTCTGTTTTTCACAATCTTTTGTATCTTCATTGCCATCATGACTTCTCAAACTAACATTAGCATCCAACTTTATTGCCATCTTCCCATTTCCTTTTTCAGAATCTTCTGAAGATAAAGCAGGCTCATCCCTATCTTTAACACTTACAGCTGCAGAATCCGAATCCCTGTTATCTTCCCTCGATAAATCCAAAGAATTACCTCCTTTGCATTCTTTAGTCATTGATCTTCTGTATACATTTATTTTCTTTACTCCACTGTTAGTCTTCAAGCATTTATTGCCAGAACTTTTGACAATACTAGGACATGCCTCAGTAGAATGTAAAGCAGCTTCTGTATCTAAGTCAATATCACATGCAGAGGATTCTTCAGGTAGTTTATTTTGATTTTCCAAAACTGGTGTATCATCAGAAGGCAACTCACTTGCAACTGCAGCGGATATCTGACTTAAAGAGCTTCCGTTATCAACTTGAATTCGACATCCCAAGATCCGGTCAACCTGTTAAATAAATGTGTACATGAAATAAAGCAATTAACTAAAATTATGATAAATAATTCACGCAAATATCAGTTGCCCAAATGAACTAGCTAAAAAAATTAACTAGAAAATAAAGTTAAAACTAATTCAAGCAAATTTTCTTCAGGTGTTTGTTTACCTGCAGATATTCACGGGGAACATTATCTTCATGAATCAACACTGCCTCCCCATGAAATTCAGCTTTCTCTAATTCATCTTGCAGGCGTGTTTCTTCCTTGGGAAGCATCTGGTTAAGACATTTTTTGCAATATAAATTTATCCCTTAGATACAAGGGTCATACACCATAAAAATGAGAGTATAGTATTAGCCAGGGTTAATAAAATTACGAGGTACGAGGAAATCTTTCTTCAGCTTTGCCAAAGAGAATAAGACATAAAAAACTATGTGGTTATTTGCTAGAAAATTCTTCTGGACAGCGGAAGAGCGGATTGATGAAAAAAGTGAATGTAGACAATGGAAGATATGGGCTATAGTTAATTGTTGGAAAAAAAGTAATTTTAATGCTCCAGATACTTTTTTTTTTCCTTAAGAAAAGTGGTTCGGATAGTTAATTGCTATATTTTCTGCTTGATTGTTATATAGACTTGTGGTGCTTGGCCTAATAGGTATTATATAAAAACAGAAATTTACAATAATGACAACAATCTTAAATATTGCTTTGTTTACACAAAATTAAGTTCAAAAGTGAAGGGACAAACAACAGAGCAACACAATAAAGCAAAGTGCAAGTGGCACGGAAGCATAAATCATTCTTCTTTTTTAAATACAAAGAATTAATTGCTTATCGAAGTGTATATAGTATCTATTATTTTGTTTCCCTTTATGTCCAAGGTTTTAAGAGGAACTTTTCTACACAAGACATTTTGGAGTAACATTTTCCACATGCTGTTTTGCAAATCATTAACAATAAAAACAAACCAAAAAGAAAAGTACAAAACGCACCTCTTCTTTTCTCCGTATATCAATGCCCATATCATCCTTCAACAAAAAATCAGAAGCCCCGCGATTAACACTTTTCTGCTTTTGAGGCAATTTAGCAGTTCCAGCACTCACAGTAAAAATTTTGGACCCACGTTTCTTAGAAGTACCAGTAGAATGTTTTCCCTTATCAATGCTTTGCTTCTTTATATCAACCCTATCATTACTCTCATGTCTTTTTCTTTTACCTTTATCCATAACAGCACCAATTGCAAGAACAATTTTGTTTTTTGGAGACTCACTATTACTAGACAATTCATGCTTACCCTCAGCTGCTTCATCATTTTGTTCTGGACTTGTACATCTAGATTTAGACCGTCCTTCCTCAATACAAAAACTTGATTTCATCTCTCCAGATGAATCCATTGGAGACGCACTAGCTTTTCCTCCATCATCTATCTTTACACATGATGAACGGCCCTCTACATGACCATCTAGTGATGTACCACTAGGCTTGGTGCTGCAAGTTTCATCTATCTGGGAGGAACCCAGTTCCTTTTCCAAGGGTTTGATGTCCTCAGTTGTAACTGATTTTCCTTTGCTGGAGGATCTTTTCCGGGAAACAGTAGAATTACCAAAAATCTGGGATACTTTATCACTACCAGATGACTTAGTTCCACTTTGAGATTTTGACTTAGTGATTTTTGTCTTGCTCGTCTTGAGATGGAATTCAGATGGCCAATGGACTTGACTGGACCATTTTTGTCACAGCAGTTTGGGCACTGCCACTTCCCTAACGGAATGCGCTGTACATAACGAAACCAAAATTGGAAAGAAAAACGAAAGGGAGAAAAAAGAAGAAAAGAACAAAATAAGATATTAAGAGCGAAGAAATCCACCATACGGACAGAAAGAATGTGTAAGAATAAGTTGTGGTCAATTAAATGTACCTTAAGAGGTGGATCAAGGCACTGAAGATGATAGGTTCGAGGACAGCTATCACAACACAACAGATTGCCACCATGGTCACAAATGACGCATTCATAGTAATACTGGAAGTCATCAACAAACACAATAAGTGAACAACTCACAGAATGTCAAAATTATAGGGAACACTAACAGTGCAACAGAAGGAGAGCTATAAGTCGATTAATTACTCCCTTCACAAAACAGAAGAAATCAATTTTAGCAAGATATCAGAATGAGACTCTAATGGTCAATCCTCACTAAGGAAAATAATCTTTCTATGTTACTTCCTGCTTCCAGCTAATCAGAAGCATTATTGCACTTTTAGAATTGTGTTAGTTATCCAGATATAAAAAATTGAACTGTGTACTTTGAAAATAATAAAACTCCTTCATGCTAAGTCTATAAAAAATACTTGTGTACAATATGTATCTTTTAAGAACAACATGTAACTATTTCATGTGAACAAGTGAAAGAAATTTTTTTTTTAAATACATGAACAAGTGAAAGAATAAGCAGTGCTTCTCGAAGATAGAACAATTAGAGATGAAAAAGAAATAGAGTCAAATTTGTTTAGAGAAAAAAGGACTCAAGCCCTTAAAAATGCATTTGCAGAAGCTCCACAACTGGCTCTAAGATTTTTTAAACGAGAACAAGTCGTGGTCAACCACAGACACATGCCAAAAGTTAGCAACTACTGTATACGATGCCATAGTTCAATGATTCAGCAATTTGGCTATAGCAACTCATTTGTGCATTAAGCTGAAAAAGAACAAAGTGGTAGTAGATGTGCTCTTTAAACTTCTCCGATGGAACATAAATAAGTCAAAGGATTAAGAACATTCATAAAGTTCATAGAAAAGTCATTTATTGCCCATGAATTATAAAGTGTCACAACAAGAAACCAAGAGATCCCGAACAAAAGGACATTGAATTGGGTCAAGAAAAAAATAACATAAATTATTACAAACAATAAAAATAAATTAACAAAAATACTAAATTGAACCAATCAAATCTTACCCCATCATTTCCTTTCTTCTTGGATGCACTTCGAACAGAATTTATGTCACCCTTCAACCTGCGCTTACCTGAAGAATTATTTCTTGGAGACTCTAAAGCCAATGAATTATCTTCTTTTCCATTGGACACGTCTTGCCCACATGGAAGCCTTCTTCGTTTGCGCTTCAGGACCCAGTTTCGGTTAATCATCCTACTAGTTGATGAACCATTATCCTTCATCTTCAAATCCAGGGTGTCACATTGTGACAAAGAATGCAAATGCATATAAGTTAATAAATGAGTTGAGCATTTAGGCCAGAAAGATAACAAGCCTAACTCTGCAAAGCCTTATTCTGCTGTTCCTACAGTTCAATATCACAAACGAGAATCAAAGAGATGCAAATAATCGAGACAAGTAACAATAAGCAGGAAAACAAAATTGTAAGTATGCATGATGTAAAATGTTTGGTACAGGGTCATCAACAAACACTGTGCAATGGCTATTTTATATTGGACTTACAGCTTCAAAACATGAGGTTCGGACGCATAAAGCAATATTACAAATAAAAAACATCCTATAGATAGAGAGAGAAGTTCATTGAAAGCAAACCAATTTATCTACAACAAGATAAAATCAAAATTTGAAACAAGTAACAACCTCTAATTTCATGATGAAAAGGAATTTTCATTTGCAGAAACAACAAACATAGATGGAGAAAGGAAAGGAATGCCTAAAAGAGAGTTCACATCCTATAGCAAGGGAATATACAAAAAGCACCGAGACATTAACAAAACGAGAAAAGGAAAAGGATAACAAATGCCAAAAATATAACGAGTCAAGCTGATTACTAGTTTCAAAGTTTAAAAGTTAAACCTCAGGTCAACCACAAAGGTCCGAGCTTCCAAAGCAAATGAATCAGCAACTTGGTTTATTCAGGCCACTATTACTTGCCACATTTTATTCCAATAAAAGATGATACAACCTAGTTATAAAACAGAATAGCAAAAAGGGAGTCAGGAACCTGAATTCATGCCAGCTACTTATGAAAGACAAAAGATCAGCATACTTCTGCTTCAAAAATTAACCAAAATCATTATGAACAAAATCTCCACCTTCAAGGGGTGGTGAACTGTCTCACACATTTCTGGATTCATGAGAAACGGCTAGAAATCAAACTAGCAGTTCAAACTAAAGTTTGACACTATTCTTCATGCATTGAGCAAAAACAAAGCAGAACGAATTCGTTAAACCAAAATAATTGAGATTTCCAACTAATATAATCAATATATACCAGGATCTTAACATAGGAACCATTAATGTCTCCCCTCAAGATGTACTAAATCAATTAAGCTTTATAACCATTGCATACACATGAACTACTAATATGATAATATTCAGTCCATAGACCTAAAAGTTATTTGATGCATTTTAAGTATCCAATTCAAACCAGCAGCAGATAAAGTGCAAGACAAAAATCAAGAAGCTGCTCCAAACTGGGTGAACGCAACCTCTATAGCTGAATCCAATTCAAACACTTATTCTAAACCGATTACACATCAAATGCCAAACAATGCAGTGCAAGTAGAAAACACTGACCAACAAGGAGTACACAAACTCAAACTAGCGTGCGCATTTGACTCTTAATAATCAAAAAACCCCGTTGCACCAACAAAAACTTAACTGTCCATACCCAATTACAAAATTACTCCTAGACACAAACATATCACCCTAACAAACATCAGTTTACACACAATTTTTTGCAATGAAATAACACAAAAGTCACATGAGCATTGAAAGCACACAAGAATCAGCTGAAACAATCGGAATTAAGGATACTCAAGAAGAGAATCTACCAACAAAAGAGATTAAAACTGAGAAATAAACAGTGGGCAGATAGAAAAATGAACTTACGAATCTTCCTTGGGGATCAAAAAATCAAAATCAAGTAAAACAACCTCAATATCAAGAGATTGATTAATGGAGTGAAGACAGAGAGAAGCAGATAGAGAGAGATTAGGGCAAGGAAGCGAGAGGAGGGAGGGATGAGATATGAGCGATACGAGAAAGAGAGAGAAAGAATAGAGACACCCGAAAAAAAATAAATATAGAGAGAGAAAGAGAGACACAAGGAGAAGTCTTTGTAGAGAGAGAGGGAGAGAGAAAGTTGAGATTTTTAGAGAGAGAAAGAGAAAGAAAGCATACGATACGGATTCGCCGGGGTCATAGGACGGGGTTTACACACTCATTCTGACATGGCAGCGCATGAGAGAGATAGAGAGAGAAAGTGAAGAGAGAGAAACCCACCTAACCAGTGCCAACTTGCCACGTGGCTTCGCCAGAGTTCTTGCTCAAATTGTCTTGCTTTTTCCTTTTCCTCCTCATTCCCACCCTCTCTTTCCTTGAAGAGAGAGAAAGTCTTATGCTTTTATCTTCTTCATAATCGCCGTCATTCATTGCTTGCTGGATATGTAATGGAGTGCAAACACTGTTTCTCTTCTTCTCCATTCTTTTTACAATCAGCAAAATCCTTCTTAGCTCTGCTTTATCCTTCCTACATCTAAATGGAATGCCATGTTTCATTTTCATATATTTATATGTGTATATACACGCAAATATATCGCCTAGTGTATGTATTACTGTTCCATTCTTAATTTTTTTTTAGTTTGAGAAAATATATTTTATTGTATTCAAACAAAATGGTGTAAACCATCTTTGAATATCTGGCTTGTACTGTTGACCAATGCTCTCTTTTCTTTGAATCTTTTGTGGATTGTAACATGTAGAAGCAAAGTTGTATTAACTTAGCAATATTGGTTTTGCAGTAAGAATTGAAAGAACTATTTGGATTATCTATAATTGTCGAAAAAAAATTTAAATAACACGAACTTTAATAAAGATACGGACTTCTTTTTAAATTTAGTAATATGTCATTAAAGTAATTATCATTAATTTTATTTTTTCTTTTAGCGGTAATAACTGAAAAATTTATTACTAAATAATGTTAATTAAATATATAACATAATTACTTAAGTTTTGTTTTTCTACCTATTTAATAATAAAAAATTTTTAGAAATTAGATCCATTTTGGTAAGTTCGGATAAATAAAACTTAAACTAATAGATTTAAACAGAAAATAAAAATCTAAATATCCTAATTGAACGTAGTGATGCTTTACTCGGAATATTCTAGATTTATAATTTTTATTACTTAATTATGAATTGACATTTCATCCCTTATAATAAGTTGTGTTGATTTATATATGTAGTCTTTGTTCCACTAATTATTAGTGAACATGCAATATGCATTTACTATTATTTGTATATATTAGTTTTTTTTTTTATGATACCTATAGCCAACTATTTATAACATTTATAATATTTTAAAAGTTAGAAATCTTATTTGCATGACTGTAAAATTAAGTTGATCCACTCAAATTGTAGAAAACATCAAATGTTTAGTTTTATTCATACTTGCATAAGTTAGTAGTACTATTGTTTCATTGGTAATTACAATGTGCAAAAATAATTAATTGTGTTTAAAGAAAATTATTTGATAATCATATTAAACCTCTTTTGAGAATGCTAGTAGAGATCTTTGAACTCCAAATTGTTTTTATTATGACGAATGGTTACTAACATCTTCTATTAACTCAAGCATATCTTATTCTTATTCAACTTTAAATCTTAACTACTTGATATACATTGACTAATCATAATTTTAATAGTACAAGTAATACTGTATTTTTTATAATATTAACTGTTAAGAAATTTAGTACAAAATATAAATAACGTCAATTAATCATCTAATAGATTAGTTATTTTTTTTTATACTTATTTAATAATATAAAATCTTCTCAAATCATATAATTATGATTGGGTTGAACTCATTTTAACCAACTCTAACGTTGAATTGAAATCATCTAACCTAATAAGTTCGATAAAATAAATAAATTTACACTTTATTTAAGTTAATAGATTAGAAAAAAGAAAAGAAAAATCTAAATATCCTAATTGAATATAATGATTTTTTTACTCAAACTTGTTATTAGTTGAAATTACTTAAATTTGCAATTTTTTATTGTTTGATTTTGATTGAGTTGAGATTCCATACTAGCAATGAGTTTTTGTTGATCCATATTCAAAATTTCCTAATCTTTTAATTGCTAATGAATATACAATATGCATTTATTATTAATAATTTTAATATTGTAAATATTATTTTTATTATAAGAATGTTGAACATAAATCTTTTAACTTTAAATCTTTTGGATCATGATGAAAGGTAACTTAAGGCCCTTTCAATTATCTTTACTATTTTACTTAATTTAATATATTTATTCTTATTTAATTTTAGATCTTAACTATTTGATATTTAAAAAATAGTCATAACATATGCATCATTTATTAAATTATACCATCAACATAGTTAACTCTAGATTGATGGATTTGCATTCGGATTTATTAATGAATGGATGATAAAATACTTAACTAGAATTAGAAACTAAATTGGTTTGAAATTAAAACATTATTTTTCATCAAGTTGTTGTATTCCCATATTTCTTTTAAATAGTAGAAAATTGAACCAAATATAAAATTAGAAATATATGGTGTCATTTGGATAAATAAGATCAACCAAGAAAATAAAATTTATGTTGTTTAAACTAGTGAATAAGATGAAAAATAAACTTACTTATCTAAATTAATGTGAGTAATTGATATCGTGTCTTAACATCTTATTAAGATTCATGGCCATAAAGATTATTTAAACATTTATCGACACCTTATTAAACAATGTTTAAGTAAGTGATTATTGATTGAGACGTATATTGTTCTCATATCCTATACTTGGGGCATACCTATTTTTCTAATACAAAACATGTCAATTAGTTTCCTTCCCACGCCACAAAGAAGATGCTACTGGGGGCCTAGCTTTGAGTTTAGGGAGACATGGAATACAATGTTTCGTGTTAATTATCCTTTACCTATACAAAAGTGACATCATTTATGGTGCTTAAGTTTAAAATTAAGGGTCAAAAGATGTATTTTCTTACATTTTCTCATTTTTCTCTAAATATTGATGTTTAACAATCTTGCCTTGTAATTTACTGTTCAAACAATTTATTTTTCTGAACCACTTTCATTGTCCTCATATCATTTTGGTCCAAACTTTTTAGGTACGAGGTTTTTTTTTTTCTCATTTTAAGATTATACCACTCTCATATAAGATTTAAGATCATATCAGCAGAAGTTATGGACTGAATCATGTTTTGATATTATTTATAATGCCCTAGACCTAAACATGTCTAGTAGAATAATCTTTTAAACTCAGTCACTAGCCCATAAAAGTTAAAACTCAACTTATCAGTAGTGTATGACTTGAGATCTTATATGGAGTTTAAAAATTACATATCTTTTTATGTATCACAATCTCCATCATTCAAATCCTCAATGTCATCATTTGAACCATACATTACGCAATCAAAAATTGCAACGTAAAAGGCCACAAGGTTCAAGATTGTGTCATCTAGAGTCACCAAATTGGCACATGCTTTAATATCACGTAACGTCTCGGAGCCTAGCACCACTAACTTAATAATCTTTCAATCCCAAACCACTAGCCTTCAAAAGTTTAAACTCAAACTATTGATAGTGTGTGACTCCTTCAGCAATATCTTTTTTTTTTTCTTCTTCTATAAGCTTATCAAATCTAAATGAAGATTTAAAGGCATGTCAAATGACTCTAAGGAGCGATGAGTCTCTTAATCACTAACTACAAAGGACTTTGTCGATTAGTTTATAGTAAGATCTTTAGAAGCCGTAATAAATAAACATAAATATATTTTTTATTCCTCTTTAAAACAAAGGTCAACAAAGTCAATTTTTTTTATCTTAAAAAATTTGTAGTTCTTTAATTCTGGAAACAATGTAATAAGTTTAAAAATGGTGTCTTTATGTAGTATGAAAAGACTCTCAATCCTGAAATCATATTCACTCGCAAAAGAACTCATTTTTAGTTAGTTTATAATTCACTGCTAAAAATCTAAATATTTCATGGCTATTAGTAGGGATTTTCAATGTGATAGTTTGTTAAAAAGAAATTACCAAACTATCGAAAAGTATCTCCAAATTTTTATCAATACTTAAAAAGGTGATTGATTGTCTTGAACTCATTGGAATTTATTTGTATATAATTTATAAAGTAATAAAACAATAGAGTTGGTAAATTTAGGAAGGTTGGACCAAGGTCTAACAAACACAAGTTAAAAAACATGTTTCCTAATACATCAGTGTTCCACTTACCAGCAACCTACTCAAATCATTTACCTCTTTTCATCACTTTTCATTAAAAAATAAAAAAATAAACACAAGATAAAATTCTTCCCCTTTAACAAAGCTTTGGTTGAGGGATAGTTCTTATAGAAAAATAGGAGAAAAGGCTTAGGGAACCACTATGTATGGATTAAGAGTATACAAGTGTTGGCAAAAAATCAAAAATTTTTGGAAGGCCCTTATAGTTTTTGTTTTAAAAAAAGTCATTTTGGGAATATAGACAGGAAAATTATGAATTTAGAAAAAGAAATAACAGTTGTTCAATAACTCAGTCCTTCTAAAGAGAATCTCGCAAATGAAGTCAGCTTGCAACTAAAATTACAGGGAATGTTCAAGATGGAAGAGCTTATATGGAGACAAAAGTCTAGACAATGTTAAACTGAATAAGGAGACATGACTACTAAATATGTCGAACTTATGGCCACCCGTAGGAGAAAAAGAATTATTTTTCATCCCCCACAACATCACGAGGCAACTTACAAACTTTTACAACACTTTATTAAAAAGTGACAATCTAATTATTTATTTTACAGTGTCTCTTCCCAACAATTATCACTAAAGAAGAAAACAAGGAGCTATGCAAAATTTGAATAGAAAAAAGAAGTCTTTTAAGCAATCAAAAGCATTAGGTCACTCAAAGTGCTTAGAAAAAGATGGAACACCAGTCTTTTCTATCAAACATGTTGACATATAATAAAAATTGATATCACGAATATTGTCTAGAATTTCTTCAAGTCAAGCTTTCTCCTGAAGCAACTAAATCAAACTAATATAGTATTAATATTTAAATGTTATATGCAAAACTAATTGCGCAATTTAGACCTCTTGTTCTCTTATTTTAATTTCCAAATGAGTTATAGAGAAAACAATTGTGGAGTCAAACACTTTAATTGAGGATTTTGATGTGTGTAAATTTTATTAGACTCCTAGACTCAAAGAGTCTCGCTTATAACATGGTCAAATGGACTATTAATGTAGATTTTTGTAGCCTACTTTTATCACATGTAATTAACTCTCTTTTTTAATGAATTATTTATGTCCTTGATAAATAAAAAATGCACAAATATATAAGAGAGTGAAAATTGTTTAATTTTTCCGAAGAAAATGTTTGTGTGGAAATACATCATTTATTGGATTAAAAAAAATTATTTAATTAATTTTTAAAATAAAGAAATCTTGAGTTTATAATAAAAATAATTATAAAAAATATGGTTACTCTATAAAAAAAAAAAACTGAAACCCTACATTTAATGAAAATAATTTTAAAGTTTTAAATGTAAATTTTAATTATTTTTAAAAAACTAAAAAGAACAATATTTATGTTTAAATATGATAAAAGCATATTTTAATTCAATTTTTATAAAAATATATATTTTTTTTATTTTACTTGTTTAATTGTAAGACCACCCTTTCAAAATATAAAAATCAAAGTAAAAAACCGCCATAGCGGGGCTTAAATTGCACCCAAATTTTCTGTACCAGTACAATTTAATAAAATTAGGTATGAGGTAACATACACTTTAGAGCCCTAATTTTTGCCGTATGGGCATAAAAGACTCAAAAAATAAATTAAAATATATATATATATATTTTTTTTGGATTAAAAAAAGACCAGAGCATTTCTTCTTCTTCTTCCTGATTCTCCCTCACATATCCAGAAATTATTTTCAGCTCATCTGTCGTCTGTCTTTCTCCCTGTAAACTTGTTTTTGTTTCCTCCATTAATTGATTAGTTTTCTTGGAAACAAAGAAACAAAGAACAGATCAAACCCTAAATTCCGATGGATCTGGCTTCAGAGGAGCTTCAATTCCTGAGCATAACAGACATCTTGAGAGAATCCATCTCGATCCCAAAACAATCCCCTAAGACGTTCTACCTCATAACCCTAACCCTAATCTTCCCTCTCTCCTTCGCTATCTTAGCTCATTCTCTCTTCACCCACCCTCTCCTCGCCCAGCTCGATGCCTACCCCTCTCCTGATCCCGCGCATGCCCGCCATGAATGGACCCTTCTCTTAACTTTCCAGTTCTGCTACCTAATCTTCCTTTTCGCATTCTCTCTCCTCTCAACTGCTGCCGTTGTCTTTACTGTCGCTTCTCTGTATACCTCCAAACCCGTCTCCTTTTCGTCCACGATCTCTGCTATTCCCAAGGTGTTTAAGCGGCTCTTCATCACATTTCTGTGGGTCTCCCTGCTGATGCTCGCTTATAATGCCGTTTTCTTGGCTTTCCTGGTTGTTTTGGTGATCGCCATCGATCTACAGGATGTGATTTTGGCGGTTTTCTCTATGGTGGTAATATTCGTGTTGTTCTTGGGTGTTCACGTGTACATCACGGCTTTGTGGCATTTGGCGAGCGTGGTCTCGGTTTTGGAGCCGATTTACGGGTTTGCAGCGATGAAGAAGAGCTATGAGTTGTTGAAGGGTAGGATTCGGATGGCGAGCGTGCTGGTTTTCGGGTATTTGGCTATATGTTTGGTCATCGGGGGTGTTTTCGGGTCGGTTGTGGTGCACGGAGGAGACAACCATGGAGTTTTTACGAGGATTGTGGTTGGTGGTTTCTTGGTTGGGGTTCTGGTGATTGTGAATTTGGTGGGATTGTTGGTGCAGAGCGTGTTTTACTATGTATGTAAGAGCTATCATCATCAGGGAATCGACAAAGTGGCTTTGCACGATCATCTTGGTGGGTACCTTGGAGAGTATGTGCCTCTTAAGAGCAGTATTCAGATGGAGAACATGGACGTATGATGGTGCAAGCTGGAAGACGATTAGAATAGTGTAAGTTATCTGTATGTAGTTTTCAGATTTATCTCCTCCCCTTTACGGAAGGGAAATGAAAAAGAAAAGAAAGTACCTTTTGCTCTGTTTCATCAGTGTTTTTTTATTCTTCTTCATCTACTATGCATTTGTTATATATTTGTTTTTCCTGCCAACATAATGTAAGAAACCCTTTGCTTGTTTGTAATGATTATATTTGCGTTTAACATTGATGGTGAAAGTAATTGTCTAATAATGAGGTTGTCAGTTGTAGGAAGCATCTGTTGAAACGTGAGAATAGTGATGGTCAAATTACTAATCATAAAAATTCTTCATCAAAAGATTTTCTTTAATACTTAGCTGTGTCTCTACTCAAAAAATACTAAGCTATATAACATCATTCCATTGCGGTGCTAGTGAGGTAGTGGTGAATCCTTTAAAAATGTTCATAAGACATTATTATTTCCAGGAGGCAAGTAGGAAGTCAAATGGATCACAAATTAATTGATTGTAGATTTGCTTCCACTCAAGAAACTTGGATAGCTATAGAAAAAAAAAATGAATTTCATTGTTTCATTTCTACTTAATGGCCTTTTCGTCTTCTACTATCTATGTTTTTATCCAACTTTTGGACTTGATGTTTCTTTATCTATTTCATGGTTTCATTTCAGATGTATTAGAATTATTTCTGTTGAAGCTTTTAACTAAAATACTATATGAATATTTCTTTTCCAAGGAGGATATGCAGAATTTAGTAACCAAATCTTCTAATGCAATTCGTAGATTAAAGATTTCATGCTTCAGCTTGTTTTGGAATGTAATCTACTGTATTTGGCTCAATATCTAGGCAATTTTTAGTTGTAATTCTCATATCAGTCTTAGTATGCGTACTTAGAACATAATTTATGGTAGGAATTCAGCTCTCACCTCCGAAAGGTAAGAATTTAATCTATGCTCTTAAAGACTAAAAAATTATCACTTTTAACAATTCTAGTTATGCATATTAAAACTTGTATGAAAATTAGAAGAGGAATTGAAAACCATAATGAACTTAAAAGACTGAAAAACATACAACGCATTTGATAGCTTGTTGTTTTACATAAAATGGTTGAATACTCAGAATACTACCTGTACATAATACCTATTTTTTGGCAGTTCATGATTGAAAACCAAAACGAACTTAAAGATACTGAGAAACATACAATGCATTTGATAGGTTGTTGTTTTACATAAAATGATTGAATACTCAGAATACTACCTGTAGGTAATACCTATTTGTTGGCAGTTCATGATTGAAAACCAAAACGAACTTAAAAGACTGAAAAACATACAATGCATTTGATAGTTTGTTGTTTTACATAAAATGGTTGAATATTCAGAATACAACCTGTACGTAATACCTATTTGTTGGCTGGTCATGATCTATTATTTAAAATGTACAGTAGCCTAATGGTGTTTTAACAGTAAATATGAGCTTTTTTTTTTCTTTTTTATCTGGAGGGGTTATTTAAGCTTGATTCTTTTAAATTCTTACTTGTCAGAGTAATGCAATTAGTAGTCCTCTGCCATATCCATTGCTGATTGGCAATGACTGCAATTCTGTATATATGATGATGTTTATTTGGTGCTTTCGTTATGATTACAGATGGTTATGGTTTGCTTGTGTTAATTGCGTGTGTGATACAGGTGGGAAGGAATGTCTGCTTTTAGTTTCTTACTTTTGATATTAGATCTTCCGCCATAATTATCAATATTAGCTACCAAGTAACAAAGAAAGGTGCAAGGAGTTAATTTCTTCTGCATATGGTTTCTGCAAGTAACCTGTTGGTGGAATGTATCTGTGCAGGACTGAAGGTTCCTTGTTGGTATGGCGGGTGGATGAAGTCTGCAAGTACCTTCATTTTAGCCTTTTAGAAATTGAGACGTTGGCATGTTAAATGTAATTATAAATATTTTTACTCTTTGATAGGATATGTATCTTTGTGGTCTTCAATTATCAACTCTGTTTAGAGTGAAAGAGCATATATAGTCTATAGATTTTGTAACTAATTGGTTAGTGATAATGTTTCTTTGATCAGACCATGTATCTGTTTTGAAGTGGCATAATTTTCTGTAATGAACAACTATTTGTATAAACTTCCTTCGCATTTAAGAATGAGAAGCTTAGGAAAAAGAATTAATTGATAATGTTTTTGATTGTATCGCTTAAAAGAAAATTAACAGTGGCAACAATCTTTGGAATCTTTAATTATTATACAGCAACACCCTGGTTTTTCACAACACGAAAACGTTATGGCCAAGCAGGCCTGTACAATGTCATTACTGATAAATTGTAATCATGATCAGAACGGGGCTGAAGCTTACAAGAACTAAACTAATCTTCATGGATAATCTCTTAGAGTTTGCTTTTGCTTTTTGGGACACCAACTTGTGAACTCCTAGACTTTCTCTCCACCATCATTGACAGTTCCTTCACCGTCTCTTTTTGCAGTAGACGGGGTTTGCTCAGCCAAAGTCCTCCATCAACAACCAACGTTATCCCATTTATGTATTTCCCTTGTATTATCACAAACATATTTAAAACTTTCACTCAATCACTCAAACATGATAGAAAATACAATGCATAAAATAAAAGAGGCAGAAGCTACATTTAATTTTTACAATTTACTAGGCATGAAAAATGATATGAAAGCTGAAAAACAATAAGCTTTGTGAAACTGAGAAAGTATGTCGTTGCTCCTTTTCCATAGAGGCTCAAAACATCAATAGAATGCTTAAGAATCAATAGTGGGTGAAGTTTAACAAGGAGTTGTTCCCCCTACAGTTATAGCTATACTGACACCACGATCTTTTTTTTCCGGTCTTTTGGAAAAAAAAAAAAAGATTCTCCAACAATGAGGGATGACATGCGCTTTCTCCTCGGAAATGAACTCAATGATCATTTCTTGAACGCACAAAACAAGGTGGAGAAGACAAAAGGAAGCAGTTCTCTAACTTATAAAAAATGCAAAAAAAATTGGAACACTTCAAAACTAATGATATTGCACGACAAGTATAGAAGAAAAAGGATAATGCGATTGAAGAATTAAATCATACCGAGATTAGCTAACCTGCATCAGATGTAAGGTACAAAGCAGCCATTGCAATATCCCATTTCTCCCCAAACTTAAACAAAGGCATAGATCTAGCTTTGCCCACTAACTCATCAGGTCCAAGCTTACTAAGACCGGCAGTGTCCTCAATAGGACCTGGTGCAATCCCATTGACCCTAATGTCATAATCTGTTCCCCACTCCAGTGCCAAACTTCTTGTGACGCTATCCACAGCAGCCTGGTCAAAATTTGTCATTGTGAAGAAATTATAATAATTCATGAGGAAAATGGTTGAAAAACCCAAGGACCAAATAGACCAACCTTGGCAGCAGATACATGTATTTGGTACCAAGTAGCTGTATAATGTAAAGTTGCACTTATGTTAATTATTATTCCGCCACTAAATGGGTCCTTTCCTGGTCCTCCTTTCTTAAGATACTTGAGGGCCTCATGACACATAGTAAAAGTGCCGACTGCATCTATATCTATCACTGCCGAAACCAACATAATGAATCAACAATGAGCTCTCTGATTAAATATATATTCCAGGATAATGTAATAGCATAAGAAGGAACCAACGCATGATTTTATAATGTCAATATCATATTGTTTTTCAATATTGTGAATACTTCAATATACTATAATCCGGGTATATGGATTCTTTGGTGGCATTATTTACATATAGGTGAACCACTCGTTTATATGGGTCATCATGCAATTAGAAACAAACCAAAACACACCAAAATTTCTCAGAATATTACCATGGAAATAGATCTCAAGAAACATGGACATCAAGCGGAGAAGAGTTAGAAGTATACTTAGTCTAAGTTTTGAAGAACATCAATAAGGGACAAAAGTCCAAACACAAATGAATAGTTAGTATTCAACAACTCTCCATGAAATTAAGAGGAACTATACGTGACTGGTGTTCAGTTCAGAAGCTATACCTGTTCGAAATCCATTAGGGGTTAAATCTTCAGCTGGCACAAGGAAATTTCCAGCTGCAGCATTGACAAGAATGTCCAGCCGTCCAAAGTACTTAACAGTGGATTCCAAAACTCTTATTGCATCCTGTCTTTTGCGGACATCACCTTCAAAACCAATTGCCTGCAAACACAAAAAAACAATTTCAACTCTTTCTTCAGTTGACCATATGGTAATTACTGAAATTTTAAAGTCTATGAAAGGGAAAAGAAACGTCAGCAAAGGATATAAACTTCTTCACAGGAAAGCAAATAGAATATGATTATCATACTCAGCATGTCTCAAGTGAGCTTGATTGAAAATTTATTACCAATTGCTAATAAAGGATAAGCAAAGACAATCATCAACTGTTGACATAATCATTACCTATATGGAATTTCAATAAACAATCATGAAAAGTTCCAAATTCTATTGAAAATGATCCATCCCTTCATCGACATGAAACCCAGTTGCCTGTATATTCAACAAGCACCATATCGATTCTGGTTTCTTGTAAAGCTAACATTCTAGCACTTTTCCTAGGGATCGATCATTCAAGCAAATAAAAAATCCCATAACCATGCAATAAATAACAATCACGTGAATCAGAGTAAAAACCGACCAAAATCGCAATTGAAACAATAAAAAAAAAAAAAAAAAAAAAAAGAGGAGAACAAAAAGAACACAAAGAAAGAAGGAAATAGGGGAGAACAGAACATTACAGAAATACCCTGGGAGCGAAGAGCTGCAACAGCTGAGTCAAGAACATTCTTGCGTCGACCCATGATGGCAATAGAGGCGCCATGTTTGCCCAACTGAAGAGCTATCTCGTAACCAACACCCGAGCCACCTCCCGTCAACAGTGCTACCTTTCCCTTCACTATATCTTCCTTAAACGGCGACTTCATTTCCTTTCTTTTCTCCTTCTCTCCTTAACCGAGTCCCAGCGAGAAAAGGGAATTGAATGCAGGAGCCGGCTTTTACTTAGCTTATAAGCCGGCTTTGTTACTCTATAATGATTTCTTCTTCATCGTGGGGGGCGAATCGTTCTATGTTCGCACGCAGGAGAGAGAGACAAGAAGAAGAAAATTATAAAATAAAAGCGCCATAGTGTAACTGGTTCTTCTCTCAAAAAAACTATAACCATTTGAAAACCTTGGGAAAAGTAAGGTCATATTTAGTAATTTGCAGTTAGTAGGTTGGGTTGGATGGAATGTATTGAGCATGAATAAGTTTTTACTATGAGATATGTATATGTTTGGGATGATTTAGTTAAAAAATAGTCCTACATCATAAACAACCATATTATATGTTTCTTTAATTGATACTAATAATAATAATGGCGATTAGTGATGGCTGCAATGAATTATTGTTGTAGTGGCGATTAGATCCCAACACTTTTGAATGCAGTAATTATTATGGTAACAATAAGTATCAATGACGATAATAGTAATAACAATAATAATAAAAATTACAAGCACAATGATTGTGACAATAATAATGATGATAGCGATAATAATGACAATAATAGTAAATACAATATTAATAATTATATAATAATTAATAATAATGATTATGAAGGTAATGGTAACAATAACAATGATAGTATTAATGATAATGTAATATAGATGATGAAAATGACAATTTTAAGAATAGCGACAGTAATAATACTATGGTAGTCATGACGACGATAATGACAATAACAATAGTTAAAATAACCATGATAACAACAAAAGTACAGGTGACAATGATAATAGGCAATTGACCAAGATAATTGTGGGTATTGTAGCCATAAGACTAGTGATAATAGGGTTTGTAGGTGAAAATAAAGATAATAACAATAGTAACAAAGGTAATAATAATAGTAATAGTGATAAAAATATTAATGGTTATGACAATGATGGCAGGGGTAGTACAACAGTAGCGGTTGGATAATGGTGATTACAACAGTAGTTTAATAGTTTTGATTTTTATATTATACAACGGAATATAAAGTTTTCTTAAATGAGAAATTAAAATTTCAAATCATCTCATGTAAAATTAGGAATCGATATGAACATAAGATAAACAACTAAACAAATTTTGGATCTTTAACAAAGTGTTTAGAATCATAAGATATCAATTTTTTTCTTCAAGTCAAGATCTTACCATGATATGTTATTTATTAAAATTTAGAGACAAAAACTCTATTAATCTATCTCTAAAATGATTTGTATTAATCTTAATAGCTAAAACTTAAAGGGAATCAAAGTATCTTATAAGTATATAGTTCTAATTACTTATTTTTTTCCTCACACTTGAAGGAAATTTTTCTTTAAGAACTTTTTTTTTAAAAAATTCAAATAGATGTGTTTCTCGATTCTAGTGAATAGGGTTTGCAAAAGTTTATATATTGCATTTTTATAACAAAATAGGAAGAAAAAGAGATATATATAAATTTTTAAGATATATTTTACCCATAAAATGATTCTTTGACTGTAGATTGGAGGAAAAAATCTTTTAACCTATAAGCTTTCTTACTTTTCTTAGAAAAATTAGTCATCCTTAAATTTCTTATATTCTCTTCCATGTGAAATCTAATTTTATCCTCTTAAGAAAAATGGTAAACCAATAAGCACTGTATCACTATAATAGAGGAGTACTATAACAAGTTTAGTTTCTATGTAATTTTCAATATAAAAGTTCTAAACTAATAAAATAAAGTTTGTCGGCAATAACTTGTTATTAGAAATTTTCTTCCCTATTGAGTTTATATTTAGAAAGAAAAACAAATGAATTAAATTATACTTAAACAATACTTAGGAAGAACAAACTTGAAACTTGGAAGAATCATGTAACAAGCATTGATAATGAGCCATACAACGTTAAAATTTTTAATATAAAAATAAATTTACACATAATATGATCCATTTGATACCAATGCAACATGGGTACGTAGTAAATATAATAGAACAAAAATATAAAATCAATATAATCACTAAAGATTATGAATTAAATAATTTAACTATTTAAAAATAAAGATATGCAATAGATTAATTAACATGTTACACATATATGCATCATTGTTACAGTATATTAATGAAAATATACTACGTATATTACAATTAATTTAATAAAAAATACATAATATTTAAACATAAACTCTCTTACTTTAAAAGGTAATCCTAATTTGTTATAAGTAATCTCATTTCTTGTGTGGGAATTGTGGTCCTATATGTGTACATATTAAGTGGGTGGAGTATGTGTACACTCATGGCATTGAAGACATTTCCTGCGCTGCAATGCCTACCAAGTCACTATGTATGGTGGTCTAATCGTTGTCCGATGACAAAATCCCCCATCCCATAATAATTGAAAATAATATACGCAACTACTTGGTGGTGTCTATAAAATAAAATAACATTATAATGAAGGCATTGAAAGTTGGTATTTTACCTAACTTTTTACTCTATTGTTTGTCTTTTTTTTTTTTTTTTTAAATAAACTAAATCTGTATCCTACAGCCAATTATAATTTTTTAAAAATTAGTTATATAGTATGTATATATTTTATATAATTAAATATTATATTATAATTTTAAAAATTAATTTTTAAAATATGCACAATTACACTAAAATAAAAATATAAAAAAAAAACACAATTTTTTTACAAAATTCGACAGTATGCTTATATTTATGGGTAAGACCAAATCTATTTATATATAAATTAGTAAAATTTTTTTTAAACAAATTTTTTTTAAGATATTTTTTCACATAAAATATCAACTATAATAAATATAAACTATCCATCATAATATAAATAAATATCACCAAAATTTAAGTAACATCAATAAATATATTATATTTTATTTGATTAAAAATAAAATATTATTTTTATATTTAAAAATATAATATATAATTAGTAATCAAACAAAAAATTTGATAAATTTTTATTTTGAATCACGGTCAAGCAATATGTGGCATGAAACTAAGGTGGATAAAATAGAAATTTATTTTTCTTATAAATAAAAATTTTAAAGTTTCTACGGCTATTGAGGAAAATATATAATTGGAGACAGATGGGAAAGGGTAAACTACGATTGAATGGCAAGAAAATATTGATAAAAAGACAATTGGAAAATAAGTGATGAAATATTTTCTTAATCAATAAATGAATTCTTCCAACTTCAAAAAAAATAAAAAAATAAAAAAAATCATTCAACTAAAGCATATTCTATTTAGGAGGATATTCTCCATCAATTTTTTGGGACACGTATTTATTTAATATATACATATACAGACACCCACGTATATATGTCATATATATATATATATATATGCGAGACCCGAAAAACCACTAGATTTTTTTTTTCCAAAAAAATAATAAAATATTCATTAACTTTTAGGACCAATATAATATAAAAGATTAAAATAAATTTTGTTCACTTATCATTTATTTTTATTCAAATTACTTTCCTACTCTGCTTTAAAGTTTTAAATTATTTTATGTACTGCTTAAAACTTTTTATATTAACTTATAAAAATTCATCAAATTAAAAATATCATTTTCAATCTCTTCTTCTTCCTTCTCCCCCACCCCCCCAAATTCAAAATCCATCAAATCTAATAATAATCAAGAAATCTTACCTCCTCATTCATGGTTTCTCTGCAACTTTCTCTCTCTCTAGTCAACCCAATCTCTCTTGCCAAAATCAACACTCACCCAAGCTTTCCCAAACAAATTACTCACCTTGCCATACCCTAAACCACTACTCACCAAATGCTCATCTCTGCTAACCACATTAACTCGTCACCATGATCACGAACTAACAGACTCAGTACTCGAACGAGAAGAGGTCAAGATGAGAGTCTTTCAATGCCAATTGCTAAAATCTGGAAAAAAATTTAAGGTAGCGATAATGGAAGGCTTATTAAACCCCTTGGATTCCCATCTCTGATAGAAGAAACAAATTCAACCGACTGAAACAAATTTAACCAACTCAACATAAAAGTTAAAGGCGGTGGTCCAGTCAACAATCATTAATAGAATTAATTGTAGTTAAATATTAATCGATTGTAATCAATTTAATTACACATTCTGTATAAATACCCAAAATCCAAAACTCTTTTTTTTTTTTAAATTAACCCCAATGTATTCTCTCTCTCTCTCTTTAAAAGGACACATCTAGGAACTCTTTCGAGTGTAAATCAGTGATTGCATTTTTTCCAAAATTTGTGAACTTTGTTGCTGATCTTGAATACAAAATCATTTGATATGGTACCAAAGCTGAAAGAACCAGTAAGACTCTGAAAATTTTTTGGTATCAACGCCTAGAATAAACCCTAAGTTTTCAAAGATTTTTTTCGGCCGATCATCTCTTATTACTTTCAACATCAATTGAGGTATCAGTTGAAGATGGCCGCTTCTGATTCGACAAAATCCGATGACTCGTTGACAAATCCCTTCTATATACATCCAAGTGAAAGTCCAGCTCTCCAACTCACATCTACCGTGCTCACTGATGACAACTTTCACTCATGGTCTAGGGCGTGAGGATAGCTCTAATCACTAAGAACAAGCTAAAATTTATGGATCGATCAATACAGAGTCCGAGCAAGGATGATCCTACATATGAGGCATGGGAGCGATGCAACACAATAGTGCTTTCATGGATACTTCAGTCTTTGTCACCGTGGATTGCTTAGAGTGTGTTGTGGATCGATCAAGCTAAAGATCTTTGAAAAGTTCTGCACACTAGATTTGCTCAAAAAGATGCTGTCAGAATCTCCAACTTACGAGAAAAAGGGTACTCACTAAAGTAAGGTGTATCTTCGGTTACTCAGTACTTTACCAAATTAAGGATTCTTTGGGATGAAATGATGAACTTGAGGCCTGTGCCAACCTATAAGTGCCAACCAGTGTGTACCTGTGATGTTCTTCCCACTATCAATAATTACGCAGAACAAGATCATACTATTAGGATATTGAAAGGTCTAAATGAAAACTTTAATATAGTGAAATCACAATTTTTTGATGCAAGATCCCCTGACAGACATCAACAAAGTGTTTGTGTCATGAACCACATCCCGTCTTATAGGGTAATGACCGGAGTATATTTTTTTAAATCATATAGACTCGAACTAAGTAAAATAA